ATTTTTATCTTAAGAGACTAGCCTGGGATTTGCGATATCTATTTTGCTATTCATACTTTTAAATGCTTCCAAGGGGACACAAAGCATAATAAATTACCAAGTGACAAGGCTTCTGTTTTCCGTGTATTCAAATCTGTGTTTGTATTAAGTCTATTTAAATAAAAATGTGTTTCTGCAGTTACCAGCTTGGTATGTGGGCACTGTACACAGCTTAAAAAGAAATAGCTCAGTACTGTGAAATTTGAATTTTTCCCCATCTGCTTTTTCATTATCAATTATTTCTTTTACTGTACATCCCATGGCCATGCTTGAAAGAGTAAACGGTTTTAGAAAAGCCTTGAAATTTTACAAAGCTGAAATGCTGGGGAATGCAAAGGGAGCAAGTTTGTGAGCTCAGGTTCCTACAGTACTTGGGGCAAATCTTGAGACTTCTTGAAGTGAAATAATGTACACACTTTTATGCTGCACAGCGATCAGCCCCTTGACCTATACCAGGAAGTGACCGTTCCAGTATTGCACATTGGTGTGAAGCAGACAAATAGAGCAATTCCATGAGGCTCAAAAAATACAGAAGTGGAACAGTAGCAAATCAAACCTGAAGACGAGCTTTGGGGTACAACAGATACTGGAGAGCTTATTAATCGCTGGGAAGTCTTATAACCTTGTGATTAACTTGAGACAGAATCTAGATGAAAGCTGCTTTTATTGAATAGTGTTAATGAAGCTTCTGTTCTTTTCAATCTATTTTGTTTGTCTTTGGTGAAAATGGTTTAGAGCCTCTTAAACAGGTTAATAGTTCTTGTTGATGTGAGACAGAAGACTCCTAGGCATATGAGTTGTGAAGGATGAGCATTTGCTGTGGAAAACACAACTGTAACAGTATCATCTTTACTCTGAGGAAAGCCAATGCCACCTCAGTGATGAAGGGAGTTGAAGGCTTCTCTGTGAACACGTAGTGCACAACCCTCAGCAAAAGGAGAGTCTCAGTCCCAAGTAACTGCATTCCTTGTCACAGTCATACTCAAAAGACTCTGCAGGCATGCAGGTGTATCCAGAATTGTATGTTACTTGTTTTTTAATCCCCATGAGAAGGTGAAGTAGAAGCTAGTAAGTGTTAAGACCTACTTCTGCAATCACCTGTGATTTAAATATGGTTTTATGAAATAGTTTGAAAGTGTGTGGCATTTCTTAGGTAGTTTATTCCTCACTGATAATAAGCCTTCTGCTCAGGCATCCCCAATCCCTTTTTGTCATCCATCAAAAAGAGGCACTGTCATCTAACAGGTCGATGATTGCCCATGTCTAGAGTCATGAGACTGGCTGAACCTTCAATCTGAGAAGCTTGTCTCATCTCATTAGGATATGCCAAAAGGGAGGAAAAAAAAAAATGACAAAAGCAAAGGATGGTGCTTTTCATGCCATTGTTTAAAAGGGGAAATAAATAATGAACCTTCCAAGTAAAGTTGGCCCTGGTGCTAAATGATGATTGTGGAATGGCAAAATAAATAGTTTATCCTTCGGGCTGTTTGATGGTGTGACAGAAACTGCTATTTTTCAGTGGTTTTGATCTATCGAATTTTACTATTTGTCTCATTTTTCAAAATAGTAAACCATGAAAGAATAAGGGTGTGATACTTATGAGGAGATAAACATTACTAAGCTTTAACATTGTGTTGACATATCAGTGCTGTAAAATTAAACGTTGTTGGATCTGCAGTTTTATTATAGATGAAGAGAACAGAAAAGTATCAGTAAGAATACATGATAGAAAGAAGAAAAAAATTAAAACTAACTTTTGGAATACCTTCAGGCTAAACAAAAAGTAAACCTTGTAGGACAAGTATTTTTTAGTGTTTGAGAGCTAATAAAAATTCCTGTAGTTTTAATGGTCTTCTAATAAAAAATAGTCCCAGTATTATGAAAACAATACATCATGTTTACATAGTATCTTCTCTGTATCTTTGGCTGCTTATGGCTATTGATGCAATTTGGAAGATTATTGTTTAAAATAGAGACTCTTCATTGTGAAAAAAATAGGCAAGAAATTACCTCCCTGTAACCTCAAACTGTATAAAACATAGCAGTTTTTTACAAAAGAAAAATGAAACCGTAACCATCGAGTAGTAAGAAAACATGGAGTATGGACTTTCTTCTCTCCACAAAACTTCATAATGATTAAATTTGCTGATAACATATGGATAAATACAAATATCAATTACAGGACTAGAGTAAGTTCATTAGTATCAGCCGGTGTGTAATGGATTTTTCTAAAAGTATAGGTTATTCAAAGTTGTTAATGTTTGGGTTTTGTTTTTAAAAAGGAAAAGAATATTCTGATAAGACAGTAAGTCCGAAAAAAGCTGCCTATTTAACCCTATGTTCCTGCTGGTTTTGTCTAACCTTTGTTACTCCTGAATCAGTGTGCTGTCACGTTTCAGGTTTTCCAGCCGCTTGAGGAAGACAGAGCCCTGTTTTCCACTCAGCCATAAGTGGCTGTGTTTATGCTTTTGCTGGATGAAAAAAGGATGCTGATGCTTTCTTCGCTCAGAAAGCATTATTCACTGTGTCGAGTTCTTTCTCCATCCTTTGTGCCTGGAATAAAGAGAATTGTGCTGCTTTTGTATGTTGGTTCTTTCTTCTTCTTTAGTGTTAATACTTTATTTTACTTTTGGAGATCAGACATTGGCAGTTGTGCAGCTGTCTCTTTGAGAAATCTGTTGGCATTCTACAGCTTTTTCAAAGCAAACCTGATCTCTTTCTGGACTTAATCCAAAGAAAGATGGTTGTTATAAAATGAAACCACATGAAATACTTTTTTTAAATAAAAAGTGAGATTGAAGTGCTTTACACCAATGGAGTACTGCAAAATCTACCAATTGGGCACCCATAATGTGTTTTTTAAGTAATGGTTTGTGTTTCTGTTCTGCCTTGGAGACAATCTGTCATCAGAATCAAGAATGCAAAAGGTTTATAATTCTTGGCCTTTTTATTCATTCCTGCTATCCCAGCTCTTTTTCTTCCTTTTGTCCATCCCTTTCTTGTTTTTCTTCTTTCTTACAACTTTCCTTGCAATGCTGAGAAACCAGGAGATGAGCGATATGAGGAGAAACGTAGTAATAAGGATAAAAAAAAATGATTAATGTGGAATTTTAGTTTAATATTCCTGTGACAAACTTGATGAGATTATGATTGTGAAATTTTGAGCCTAATTTACTACTGTCTTAATTTGGAGATGGTGGAGTACAGCTTTCTTCATTTTACCTTTTGGAGTGCTGAAGAGGTAAACTAGGATTAACATTGTTTGTAGATTTTGGGATTGTTTCAAGAACATGGCAAGAAGTTGGCCTTCAGGTAGCTGATAATACCAGGTAACCAGTCTTAGAGTTTTATGGTGTTCAATCAGTCTTAACTCCTTCTGAGAACTGTTGACAAAGTTATTAAATAGCAGCTTTGTAGCCATTTTGGGGAGAACGCTATTTGAATGGATATAGTACAAATCAAGTAAAGATTTCAATGTGTCTATATAAAGCATTTTAAATTGATCAGATACTATAAAAGTTGGAAAAGTGTTCATGTTTTTGATGCATCTTGCACAGCTACAGGATTGAACTAGGCGACCTTTAAAAGTCCTTTCCAACCCAAACTATTCTGTGATTACATGAAGTAATACAAGTTGACTTGTTAGTCTTTTCCGTTTGGTTCAAAACTAAACTTTTTCCTGAGCAGAATTTAAAGATAAGTGTCTCCATCAACTGTAGAACCAGCAGG